GACCGTCGGTGTCCTCCGAAGAGAGCCTTCATGTCTGTCTCCAACAAGCCAAATGAGAATACTTTTGGGGGTCCTGATTCTTCACCAGAGCTTTGTTCAATGAATTAGAATCAGAATCCTCATGATGAGTCCTCCGACAAGTCTCCCTCCTCCCTCGGCGGCGGCTTCGAGTGTAAATCAATATGCTTGTCGGCTCTTAAACTAATTAAAACATCTTGCGGATTGTGGTCGTCGTCAAAGCTTTTGTCTTCGCTCTAATTTGTTCTGAGTCCCGTCCCACAAAAGCAACCGAAACAGGATGCTCGAGTCTCAGTCGTCGTCGTCGCTCGGTGCTGAAGAACGAGCCCCGGAACTAAAAGCCAACAATGGAATAAAAAACATGTCATAAGCTACCAGGGCAAGGACTCCTCGCTGTGGCTTTGTCCCTCCGACTTCGGTCTGGAATTATGACAGCCCCTGGATGGATGGATATATGGACGCGGTGAATGGAATTGGATTGAATGCTTCATGTCTGTCTCTGTTCAGGCAAAAGGCTGGGCCAGGCATATAATTAGGCTCCCCTAACCGGGATTTGAGGATTTTTAATTGAATTAAAGCTTGCACAACGGAACACGGCTGAGACGACGCGACGTCCGCGAAAAACCCTTCCCTGTTCCCATGCAGTTTGCATTTGGGTTATTAACTTAGGCGCCGCTATCAATATCCTTGAACGCAACGGGTTGTCCAAAACAGTTCGATTCGCCCCTCTAGGGCCGAAGGTCTCTAATTGCAGGCCATGCTGGGCAATATTTTTGTTTCTATGCAATTAACTCGCTTATCGGCAACGAGAACGAGTCCGAACAAACTGCATTCGATGGTATCAGGGTTTCAATCAAATTGATTGAATTGCATGACAAACGGGCGGCACTGGGATAATTATAGCTCTGTTCCAGGGATAATGGTTGTGCCGTAAGTAACTGGAGTTGCAAGTTGATTCCCCGAGCTGATTTCAGGTTCAACCCACTGGGAGGGAAAAGTGGAATAAAACATGACACTCTTACCACTCTTACCAAAGGGATTTCTTTGCATTTCTACTATACTATTCAATCTATTCCAAGCCTTCACTTATCTGTCATCGTAGGAATAATGTAGAATACCCGTCACAATATTGTAAGACCCAGGACAGGGATTCTAATAAAGTCCTAGAAACAGTCTCTGTCCTACCGTACGTTGGTTCGATTATATTTTCAAACTTCCCTCATTTTTTTTAGTGTAGCCCCGCCCATTTTCCATCAAAGCGAGAAATTCCACCTTGTCTTTACATTTCAAGACATTTTGGTTGACACATTTGTAGCCCTACCGATTTTCAATTTGGTTGCCACACGAATTTCTCCCAGTGTAGCCTTAGGTTCGGGTAAATGATTTGTCGAGGAGGCCTTAGCCACAAACACGATCCCGGCAACCAACCGACAGATGAACCTACCTACCAAAAACGGAAGTATGAATAATCCAACAGGACCTGTGTAATATCAAGTCGAGCTGCAACAATTCTACCCCCATCTCTTTCTCTCGCTCTCGCTCTCTTTCTCTCGCTCTCTCTCTCTTTCTCTTGCTCTTTCTATATCTCCCACTCACTCACACTGTCTCATTCCTCTCTACACAAGTTGCAAACAGTTTTATTAAGCTGCTGAAGCTCTTGTGTGTTAAAAGTCAATTTTCCAATTTGCAAACTGTCAGAAACATTCGAAAAGCAATTTCTGCCACACAGCGAGTGAAAGAGAAGGATGTCTGGCTGGGCGAGTGAGAGCGAGTAATATAGGGGGAGTTGCGTATACGCCTTGTATGCTGTGTGGGTTACTTCTACTTCTATGTGCTTTCCCATTTTGGGGCAACAACGACACTTTGCGGCCGAAGTTTTCCAATAAAACGGCAAAACTTTGCTGCGAACAAAATTAAAGAAGACGACAAGGAAAATGCTAGCAAAGAGACGGAGAGAGTTAGAGTGAGCGAAGGTGAGTGAGAGGGAAAGAAGAGATGATGATGATGATGATGCTAAAGTGGGCTCCGCACGGGAGACTGGTGATGGGCTATGGGGTGGACTGGGGACACAAATTGTTTGCTGCCAATGTGAAGTTTATGAAAAAGATTAAAGTTGAAAAGTGGTTGCCTGCTGGGGACGGGGGAGGTGGCGCACAGCGCACCCCAACCGGGTGATGAGCTGGGGGTGTGCGAAGGTGGGCTTGTGGTGAGTCGCGTGCCCCACATGAATGCCAAATTGCTGCAGGCCTGCTCGATAGAGGGGCGGTGTGTGGGTGATTGAGGTTGAGAGGCCAGCGGCAGCGCCAGCGCCAGCACCAGAGTCAGAGGAAAATGTATCAAAATTGAAAATGGCTGAAAATGTGGATGCGTGTGCTGTGTGGGTGTGTGTGTGTATGTGTGTATGTGTGGGGAAGTGCTTGTTTGTATTTATGTCTATGGGGTGGAAAATTGAGTTTGGTCCATGTCAGAGCAGAAGAAGGCGCGACGAGTGGTAGGTGGTGCTGGGTGGTTTGTGGCAGCATCAACAGCCAAAGATGAAAGCAGACAATTTTGCCAACTTTTGGGTGGATGGCTCTCTCCATGATGATGATTATGATGCTGTGGGCGTGCCACCCGCCAGCATAGAGCTCTCTCTTTTATCATTCGCTCTCTGTTGCTCCCGCTCACTGTATCTCTCTCTCGCTTTCGTGATTTTCCTCTTGCGGGGTTGTGGGGGCATTTTCATTATGACGCGCCATGAATGGAAATTACAAAATTGATTTTGATGATTTAATTAAAATGAAGAAGCACAAACTCAAATTATAACAGTCAAGAGGAGTGGCTCAACAACCTACACCCTCCCTCCCATCTCCGCCGGATTGAAGCATTCTCTCTTGGTGTATGGGTGTATGGGTGTGTGCTGTGTGTGTGTGTGTGAGAGGGAGAGGAGTTGAATGTGGCCTAAAGCTGCTAACTTTAATTTATTTTCTTCGTACAGATTTGAGAGACAGGAAATTAGACTTTCTAAATGGGATTCCCATTTGCCGGAGCCACGGGGTGATCGGAGCTTATGTGGAGTGGATATGCGATGCAGAAAGGGGGGAGGGTACTCAAGAAACTGGAGCACTTTTGTTATTGCTGGCTGTCTGCTCTGCTAATTGATATCTGACAGATATTCGGGATTACTCATTTGATTGGGTTTTGATTAGCATGAAATGAGTTTTTGATAGTTGCAAATCAATGGGAAATTATGTGCAGTTCTCGTAATCCTTTTCGACAATAGAGGTTGATGGCTTTACGCTCTGTAGTGCCATTTTACATTATCATGTCCATAGAGATGAGGCCTTTAGTGAAGAAATACTTAATAATACTTAATAATATTTCATATAAATCGAATGTTGGTCAAAATTACATGAAGAGAAAAATAGTTTTCTTTTGGAAACTGTAAAATGTTAGTTAAATATTCGGTCGTTTTGGCAATAAGGAACAACCGACACCTGTTACACATGGCAAATATTGATTTCGATATTTTATCTGTCAACGGGAATTCGCAGTTTGTTGTTTTTTTGTTTATTTGGGTAAAGTAAAATTTGAGGTGTGATTATAAATAGATATATTTAGTTTTAAACATCTGCAGATATTATCAAATTTTTTTTTCGCTCATAAAATGTTGCTTTTAAGAAGAAGAATCTTACTATTTACGAGTATCCAGCGGTATATTTAATTGAAAAATATGTATGATAGTATCAAAAAGTGGAAGTGGAAGTTGGCTTTACTTATGAAAAAATCAATTGTGTAATAAAATCGTAAAATGTTAAGCGTTTATGAATTAAACGTAGATCAATCAGTATCTGAACAAAATATGTCCCTTCAGTATATCGTTTTATCCCAAATATCTTAGAATATTTTGTATTATTATATATGTATCTAGTAATGTCAAGTAATCTGCTATCCTTTTTAATAGTGTAAATATTATTAATTAAGCCATTTCAATGAGCATTTTCCGACTGGTGAAACTCGTTTTGCAAATCAATTTCGGGCAACCAGAATAATTTTACGCGCCATTATCTTTAATTAAAGAGCCACAGACGGGCGACACGAAACCACGAATCGTGCACAAATATATGTACATATATACATATATACTTGAACACATACATATGGACTTATACGAGTATCTAGTAGAGTTGGGTGAGGGGTTAAAATATATGTAGTCGTATTTGTGGCAAGAGCAGCAGCAGCTGAAGCTCAAACTCTGGCTAAAAACAACACACAAACAGCAACAACATTTAATGGTAATGAAATTTTCATCAGGAATAATTTCTTATTAATTTGCGCAAATTGCGTTTAATTACTTTGAGCGTGGCAGAGGTTGGTCAGCACTGGGGGCTATGGAAACTCATTCTCTGTAGGTGGCTTTTATGGGTGTTTTGCTCTCCCTCTCTCTCTCTCTCTCTCTCTCTCTCTCACTCTGGCAGTGCCTTTCCCTCAGTTGAAGCCACTAATTAGACAGGCACACTAATACACACTCATTGTTGCGATAATTCTAATTAAAGCGAAGGCGAACTAATTGGATGTTGCCTAACGGGACTCTGGCTTGGTGTGTGTATGTGTGCTCAGCCATTTTGCTTGTCTGGCTGTATCTCCTCTGTGCTTGTGTTCGTGTGTGTGTCTGTTTTCATTAACAATTTCAGTGCTGGACGCCATTTTGGTTTTTGTCTTGCTTGGAGCTTTTTATCTTCCGGCATTCTATAGCTGTCTCTCTCTCTCTCTCTCTTGCCGCATTCTCTCTTTCCCATTCGGCCCCTTGTCTTTCAGTTTATTCCGTTTTCTCATTATGCTTTAAGGCCGTCTTCCGTCAGTTGTTCTTCTGGCTGCTCTTCAGAGACATTTTGGCGCCTGATTAAATTAGCGCGTTTCTTGTCAAGTGATTAATTTAATTGCTCCGTGCGCTCTCTAAGCAAACTAATTAGCTAACCATCCTTCTTCTCTCTCTCTCGCAGGTCTGGTTCCAGAATCGTCGGGCCAAGTGGCGTCGCCAGGAGAAGTCGGAAAGCCTGCGTCTGGGCCTGACGCACTTCACCCAGCTGCCTCATCGCCTTGGCTGTGGAGCCTCCGGTCTGCCAGTGGATCCCTGGCTGTCGCCGCCGCTGCTGAGTGCCCTGCCAGGTGAGAGTCTCATATTCAGCACTCTATAGCCCCTTTACTCAGACCAATCTCTTGCAGGCTTTCTATCGCACCCGCAGACGGTGTACCCCAGCTATCTGACCCCACCGCTGAGTTTGGCGCCCACAAACCTTACGATGAGCAGCCTGGCGGCAATGGGACACCATCACGGTCATAATGGACCACCGCCACCACCACCCGGCCACGGACACGTACTCGGACACGGGAGTCTGGGACACGGGCATGGGCATGGACATGGCCATGGGCATGGCCATAACCAGCCCCAGCCACCCCCGCCGCCGGGTCCACCCCATCCCCATGGAGGCCATCATGTGGTGCCGCTGTCCCATCTCTCGCCGCACCTGTCACGCATGTCACCGCACGCCACATCGCTGGGCTCACCCCACCACGGAGTGACGTCCGCCGGCCTCACCCCCCTCACAACCCTCCACAGCAGCCTGCCATCCACCACGACGACCGCAGTCTCGTCCTCGTCCTCCTCTTCCGCCTCTCTGGAGTGCAGCGGACCGGATGTCTGCATGTCGCCGCAGAACTTGAGCCTCTGCAACGCCGACTCCAACGGGGAGGCGCGGGACAGCAGCGACCTGGAAGCCGGCAGCAGCAGCAGCAACCACGGCAGCGGCCTGGACAAGTGCGCGACCAATGCCAGCATCGAGCTGCTCGACGTGGGCCGGGAGAGTCCGCCACCACCTCCGCAAGCATCGGTGAAGCACTCCTCGTCTCCGCCGGCGGACATGCGGAGCAATTCGATAGCCACGCTGCGCATCAAGGCCAAGGAGCATCTAGACCAGCTCAACAAAGGCCTTGTGTCCATGGTCTAGCCACAGAAGGTTCCTAGCATCCGCTTTGCGTCACCATCACCTGCACAGCAATTCCATTCCTCCCTTAATCTTAGTTCTTCTTAGTTCAGCTCCAATCAAAATCCTCTCAAATCAGCTATGTTTTCTATCTTTAGTCATTAGTCTAGAGAATTACATGTTTTAAGTCTTTGTTTTAGTTATCTACATGCAATCCGGCCGTGGCGTACGTTTGGTCCTCAGAAAGACCAAAATAACCTGCCTACGGCACTGCAAACTGCAAGCCAGAACCAGTGAAAGAGTTTCCTATATCGTTCAACACAACTGTGCAGAATGTAATTTTAAAATTTCCATTAATTCAACAGCAAAGGACAAAAAAATAAGTCTAATCATAAAGCATATTAGCACAAAATAAATATAAACAAGTTTTAGCTCAAAGAGGCATTGATTAAATGGGAAAGGGGCAGGGGATAGGGTGTTTCAATTAGCAGGGGAGCTAATCAGGAGCAATCAATAACCTACTTGTCTGGCCAATTATGAGGTCTTATCTGCCTCATTGATCGCACCCGGGAGCTGTCAAAGTCTCATTAATGACTTGATTAATATGAAAATCGGGAGACACTGGAATGACCTCTGTTGAAGGTGGATATTCAGACAATCAGTAATTAAATGCAATTAAAAGGGACTAAATGCAAAGCAAACAAGGCCTCCGCAAGGTGAGTGCTGTGGGATGGCGGCACATGTGCAGTAGCCGCATTTCGATCTAATAAAATAACGAATAAAATTAAAATTGATTAACGCCGCGGGCAATTAAGCTGCAAGCATGTTGCCCACCCCAGGGGGTAGTCTTTCCAAGTTTGCATATGCATATGGTATGAACCGAACACACATGTGTATCCCGCAAAGACCTCGGCACAATGATAATTGTTGGCAATTACATCAGACCGCTTATCACACGCACAACATCTACGGGAAAATCTCACCCAAAATGCATACTGCTACAAAACACACACGTGAAATAGAACTCTACATTTACACAGAAATTGTCGAGGGAAATGGAAAAGGGAGTCGGGTAATGGGTTAGGTTAGCATTAAGGGCCCAGTTTAAGTTTAATGACAATCACCGATTCCCCTATTTCGTGTACTCCACAATTCCACGCTCACAGCTAAATTACTTTAAGCTGTTCTCATTCCATTTTTGACTAGGATTTCAGCGAAAAACTTCGAGTATGTACTCTAATTTATATCGTTTTATCTCTGAAGGTGGCACTCAATATTTGAGATATGTACTTTTAACAGGATCATATTTCTGTATCTTCTGTTATTATCTTATTCCTTAAACAAAACATTAATTTATTTAATACTAATTTACATGTATATTTCGTAAAGTGTTGAGCTTTGAGATTTAAATCTAAATTCAAATCAGTCATGGCTCAGTGGCGACAATAAAAACCGTTTCTGTCGGCCGTTTTTGAAACTATTTGAATGTTATTTACATTACATGAAACCTTAAATTCTAGGGGAACATAGTAACTTAGTGGAATAAAAACTACAATAAATAATATGTACTGAGCATTAGATAAGAGCTCAATTTATAAAGATAAGTTTTCAGTTCAAGGATACGGAATACATATAGATAATTAATATCAATATATACACAGATATACATCTAAGCGATTTTACATGTAGATCCTACATTTCGTTATATGTATGTAAAATTGCACGCTTCATAAACTATCCGTACAGATGGCGTCACAATGCCTGAGCTTTTGGCGGCTTGGCCAATGTACGCTTGAGGTATAATTGTTATTATTTATTAATTACACAGCCCCACAAAAACAAAATATCGTGCTCGGCTGACTAGAATGTCATATCAGTATGTATTTTGGGGCCCTGAATAACCTGAATAAACCAAGGTCAGATTTGCTCCATCACTTCAGGTCTCAAAACACCCAAAACAAGGTCGAAACATGGTGGAAACTTATTTGAAAAATTCACCGGATTCGCTTGAATCACTGGGGTGTTTTTGAGTTCAATAATTACGAGCTTGAAGTCAGTTTTCAGAAATTAAAAATGCCGTATCCAATAAGTGTAGTGGCCAGTGAAGCAAAGCCCGATTAAATTCGCTAATAATTCCGCTGCTACAAAAACAGATTGAAAGCACGCGCCAACTTGATTCGTTCGAACAAAGAGCCTTTAGAAACCTCTACTTCGAATATTTAGCTTTAATTGCTCGAATGTTCTCTTTCGTCTCTCAAGACCGAACTTCCATTGAAGGATTCCCGTTAAAGTTCTAGATCGTTAAACGATTTCCCCCCATTCATCAGAGGCGTACAGCGACAGAACAGCCTGGATGGCCACATTCATGGCGGGTACATTGAATGTTACGAACCTGATCTGAGTCATCCTCTCACGGTTAGCCTTCGGGCTAAGAGGGGCTCGGCCAGCAAAACGGGGTGATCCTCGGGGGCCACACGCAGCTCATTCATCACCAACGTTCTTGGTCCTCAGCAATAGCGAGATGCGTGCGTCTTGCTGAACGAGGCCCCTCTTAACCCCAAGGCTAACCGTGAGAGGATAAATCAGATCAGGTTCGAAACATTCAATATGCCCGACATGAATGTGACCATCCAGGCTGTTCTGTCGCTGTACGCCACTGGTGTTTGCTTCCATGTGCAACGGGCTGGTCCATGGACTACAAATCCTGACGATGTATCTGTACTTCTCTTCCATCACGCGTCTGGGACGATCTGCTACTGGTGCTCCAGTTTTGTTATGTAGTGGCGAACTGAAGGTGAATCTGATGTGCTCATGTTGTCGAGGGTGAGGTCATCAGTTTGCTGGTCCTTGCATTGATGCGCTTTATCGTTATATGGCGAAGCAAAATCCTGCGAGATTACAGATTGTGCCGTTGGTGAGATGTTGCTTGTTGACGTCAACAAGCAAATGGAACTTTGCTAGGAATAATTACAGTTGGTACATCAGCGACTACACATGACCATTTAAACGAACGATCCAGGCCCAGGTCGATTTCCAGGTCCTGATTTCCAAAACGTTCGTATTGTAATCCGGTTTGTCATCGCAAAGTTTATTTTTCATTGATGAAAAAGGGGATGCCTTGTTGTCATGGGGAGCCTTGGGCTTTTTGGAGATGTCGTGTTGTAGCTTATCAACTCAACCTTCTGCATAAAAATGTGAAAATTAGCAGCAACGTCTTTTAAATTTGGACTGTTGCTACTTACCGCATCGACGCTCTTTTGAATTTGACCCGAATTTGTGGAACCAGGAACCAAAAATAATCGTAGACGACTACAAATGAAATGAAATTTCGATGCAAGCCAACTACAAGACAAAGTCCAACAGAATTGAACTTGAATGACTCGACATAACACACATTGAGTCGATAGCAACAATCCTTGCCAGCTTGTCCAGAAGAAGGAAGCTCGGTGAATAAGAGGTTGCGTATAATTGAAGATGAAGATGCCAGACCGGCGTGTCAGAGTCAGGTGCTGCCACACCAGCGAACGATCCGGGCTGCCACAAGCTTTTCAACCGTCAAATTTAATAAAACTGAATCAAATGGGGAATACTACCTGATGGTTCTCAACAATTGCATCTTTACAAAATGTATAAAAGAAACCCCACGACTTTGCTGTCAGACCGCAAATAAGCTCAGCGAGGAAATGCATCCAGGGCATTGCACTTCCACTTCAACCAAAAACTAATATACAAAACACTCACTGATTGAGTGATGGGCATATTGAGAGATGGCCCAACAAAAACAAGAGAAGCGATGAATCATCAGGGCAGAGATCAGCATAGGAATACCAAAAATACACGATTGCCGGGGCGTGTAGTAGGTGCCAAGCACTCGCCATATAAGGCATATATGGCACCCCCAGACGTTGCAATTGCAGCTGTGCCAAGGGGACACAGATGTGAGCTGCCATCCGCTTCCCGAGTGGGGAAGGAACCAAAAATACTCGTATACGACTACAAATAAAAAGAAAAGAAAAATGCGATGCAAGCCAAGTACAAGTACAAGACAAAGTCCAACTGAATTGAACTTGAATGAAGTGCACATCCACGAACAGACACGGACACAGTCAGCGGGTGACGCCTGCAGAAGTCGAATTAAAATTCCTAAATGATTTGGCATCACGCTACATGAGAGGGTTTGGTTTTGGGGCTTTTTGGAGCAGACAGCGACAAGTGTTCCACAGATAGAACATCTATAAATAGATAATGTCAAAAACCACCGAGCCGAAGTCTGTTCTGTGTTCTCTGTGGATACTAGCTGATCGTGATGCTGATTATGATGATGCTAATGAAGATTCTTTCCCATGGCCATGAGTGGTCCGGGCGGAAGCGAGCTGCGCCTCTGTTGGCCATGAGGCTAGCAGAGACACAGATTTTTCATCCAATTCCTCTCCATATGAACATTTATATGTTGGCATATGCTATCTACATCTCAATTGTACTTTAATTAAAAACACATCACATACCACACACACTATACCAAATATTGCTCATGTATCTTCGATTCTCTTGTCCAACCCAAACAGCACAGCCATTCTCTTCTGGGATATATCGCATATTGACGACATACAGCTGATCGCGCCCGTTTGGTCGATGATGAAAGTGTTTGCGCTCTTTTTTTATTTCTTTCCTTCTGATTTTCAATATTGTTTCTGTTTTTCCTATGCGCTCGTTCGCTGGCGCTGATTTTTTTTTGTATATATAAAATAACAATGTTAAAAATAAATTCATCCAAACGAAATGAAACCAACGAATGGCAGACACAAGAGAAAGAAAATTATTGAACAACATATTCTACGATTATGATTTTTGTTGGACCTATATCTTTGTGTTTGTGTATCATGTCTGTATCTGTATGAGAATACTGCAAACAGAACAGCGAGCAGAGATGTTTTAGCACACACCATAAATGTCCGCGTCACCTTTTGTTGCTGTTACCTCCATTTCCCTCCCGTATAGGTACAACTGGTTGAAAAACTGAGAGATATGCAATCAATTGGGGTGGCCCGAAAATATGGGAATTGAACCACATCGCAAAGAATGAGATGAAATTACTCCCAAAAGAATGAATGTATATCCTGATGGCTCCAACATATCACAACTTTATTCAGATTAAAGACTGAAAGATTCCTAATAGATAAGTGTGTATGTTCTCCAGTAGCCAAGCTCCGTTGAACTGGTTTTCTAAGAGTTACATTTATAGAACGTCTTCTAATCCAATCCTAATTGGGTCCACCCGAATCTGTATACCTAGAAGATATACACAAATTGGCGTCAAAAGATACGAGTATTTCTCTATATTCAGTTCAGCCCGATCTTCTTGTTATGCTACGCTCTCTGTTCTTGCTCTTTAATATATGGCTAGCTCTGGAGACGTACAGTGCGGCAGACACTGACTAACTAGATACACGGACGCATACATATATACACATATACACATACGTATGAGAAGGAATACTTGGTGGAGCGCATATCCGAAAGATATTTTGGTCTGCAAAGACGATACATACATACATATATAGATGGATCAGTTATAGAATAAGTATTTGGTGAGGTCTTGCATATAGATTTGATTTTGCCACTTGTCTGCTTCGACTCGGGATGATTGCAAGCAGCACGTGAATGCCATGTCCTATGTATGACTAAATATTAAAATATGGGTTCGAGAATCCAGGGAAATAGTTCGACTGAAATACGATAGGATTTGATGGAAAATTTCCATCTCCAGTCCGACGTGTGTGTATTCATTGTAAACCACTAAAAATAAACCTCGACTGCACTCCAAAGCCTAACAGACTCCAAAGTTTTTTCGAGCGCCTCGGACTTTTCCCCCATTAACACAGAGTAATGCATTCCAGAAATCACAATCTGAATCGAAATGGAGTGTTTATATGCATTCGCCTGACCTGATTTACATTTACCCGATCGACGGAGTAGGGAATAGGAAGTGGGACTGCCAAGTGGCAGATGCGATTGTGGCAGCTGCTAGCGCTGATGCCGCCGGACAGTGGTCAGAGCCGGAACTGGAGCTGTTAATGCGCTAAACAAATCATCGGTCATCGATGGTGATTAGGCCTATTAAGGGATTGTGGCTAACCCTTCTCAGCACTGGGTACTCACTCATTCAATCCCTCCGTTCAGGCTTTGTTTATTTGTGTGCACTCCGTCCGGGGTGAATCCAATAGGTCCTGAAATGCATGTGCCAAACTAATTTGAAATTAATTCACAATGAAAGTGAGGAAAACTCGTTCTCACCCGCCCTCGCACTTTGATCAACTCTCAATCACTCAATCGCCTAGTTGGCAACTTAATAAAAATTCCGCACAAATTCATGAGAATCCCAGGAATTTAAGACCGTTCAAGGACAGCGTGGCTCCGGATGAGGGTGTGAGCCGCAGGGAATTTCCCTTCATCTATATGGCCATGTAACGCCTTGTTGCCTTGGCTTTGGGCGTTACCCCAGCCTCATCCATATTCTCATGGCCATCCTCATCCTCATCATCATTGTCGTCGCCTGTGTGCATTCCGCTTGAGCTGTCAAATGCGCATCGCGACTGTATCCCTCCCGTGTTTGTAGACGTATCTGTGTGATGTGGTGGCGACTTTTTGTCACCCAACCATTGAAACATCGAACCAGCCAACCATCCAGCCATCCACCATCGAACCCCAACATTGCCATTGCCCTTTGCAGGCTCAATTGCAATTTGTTTTCGTTGATTCCCAGCCTCGACCTCGAGCCGCTGTTTGTTTAGGAACGTCTGTGGGGTGGGGGTGTGGGGACTGGATTCGACAGACTTGAATTTTTGGCATTGGTAATTCACAAATGAATCCCTTTAGTGATGGCAATTGGCGCACGTGCACTAAAACAACAAGGAGGCGAACTGGCTGCCAGGCTACCAGAACGTTATTAAAATTCCTTGGCCTCGGTCCAGCCCCAGCTCCCAGTGAGTGCACATTTAGCTGGGCTTTATTAAATTTTGATTTAGCCATTTATATAATCTATTTGCAATTGGTTTTATTTTGGTTATTCCCTGTCCAACGACAAAGTGTGGCTTTGCCATTTGCCATTTGCGGCCCTGTGGCCCTGTCGTCCTGTGGCCCTGGGGCCCTGAGGGAGTAGACTGGGATAAACTGTTGGTCACATAGTGTTTGGCAGTCATGGAAGGTCTGACACTGATCTACTTTTAATTAACTTCAAATTAACAGTTGGATAACTCACTTGCCTAAAAGACCAATGAGAGAAGAAAGTTCGATGGAACTAAATTAACCAATAAAAGAAGATATTTTATTAAATTCAATTAGCACCCAGAAAAGTACAACTTTCTCATTTGATTTATAAAAAAACTAAAAATGGACCATTTAAAATGTGTCAAAACGGTTTTCTTTCTATGCAAATAAACTTGTAATGAAAGTTTTGATTCTACCCAAATACTATAGATTAATCTAGTTTTGCACTGTTATAAATCGAGTTAGTAAGTTTTTTATTTATTTTGGGTTTTCTGGGCTTGGAAGCAGGTCACTTCAGAAGAAGGAGCTCGTAAAAGCGTTATGTATTATTATCTCGGTGATTTTTTTTATCATTTTAATTCTCATTGACGATTTTTTGCGTATAGTTGTATTCCACTAGACTTAAGTGTAACTAATTAGAAAGTTGGTGAGACCAGATTTAAACCCTATGGCAGAAGAAGACAGTGTGAAATATATGAACGGATAATAGTCGTATCATAGTTAAGTCAGTGAGACATCCATAGTACCATCTGGCTAGATATAACCAGGTGAAAGCCATTTTCAATAGAAATCAACAGGCAGCAATAAAGTTATTATCAAAAGATAGGTGTCCCAATTTTAAATTTGAAAGCTCTGGCAACCCTGGAGGAAAGCAAACTTGTAGCCACCTGATCTAATTTTAGCCTTCGAGTATTACTAAAAATAAGCAACGGAGAGATAGATTGATTCTGTTCTCAATATAATGAAGCTATTAGAAAACAGTTTTGCCAATTTAAAATCCAGAGATCAGAGGTCATTCTTTAATCTTGAGCTTCTTCTTTGGAGCATTATATGAACTTATATCCAGCTCCAATTTAGCGACATCAAAAACCATTTGATTTTTTGTACACCTACAAAGTAAACTACATATTCTATAGATACACATAGGAATATGCTTAGACATAGCAAGCTAAACGATAGAGAGAGGAAGAGGGGCAATATGGAGCGTCCATATACACGGATTGTGCCATAAAATGTAAACATGCCCCACTTAGTTGTCTTGATCTATCAATAGACATAGGAAGCCCAATTTAAATGGGAACCCTGCAAAGCTGACATGTAACGTTAACCCCTGTCGCTGCGCCAAGTGCATGGCATGCCACTGCTGCATACAACATTATTTGTAAATAAACAATTAGTTGAATTAATGCTCATTACGGGTACATGCATGAGTCGTGGATAGAACGGAGAGTAGTGAGAAATATGACCAAAAATAGAAATGGAAGGAATTCACATTGAATACACACAAATCGATGGGTGGGAAGGTGCAAAGGCTGGGAATATATACATATAGCGATGCGATGTAGTACAATGTAGATATATGTTTGAGTACATATATATCGAAAATAGAAAATGAATTTATTACGACATCAGAAAAACACGAAAGTTATGAAAACAACCAAGAAGAATACGATCGGCAGATCGGCGGATCGACGGAAAATAGAATCCCATCCCCCACCGACCCAAAAAAACACTACTCTCACATCACACACACCCGCACAGCAGGAAAGGAAGAGAGAGAGCGAGGGCAAGAGATCCATAGCTATAGAGAGCGAGAGAGAGCCAGTACTGGAGTCTCCGCCTTGCCTTATACGGCACTTTTGGACTGGGGGCCACGAATCGCTCGTCGTTCTTCGCGCTCTTCGTGCTCTCCTCCAACACGATCCCGATCCCCAGCCGTTGCCGAATGCCGATAGCGATCTACATGCTCGAT